CTGGTTAACCCTTATTACATTGTAACAGCTATGGTGAAGCACCCATCGACCTGAGTGACCTTGAGTTGGCCAAGCCCACCCAGTCACATGACCGTCTAATCCCACCTACCCAGATAGTCATTAGGGCAGAGAACCGGTTGTTAAATTATTTGAATCCCACCACTGCCTTATTCATAATATAAACTTAACAAACATATCAAAATGTTGCTGTAGAAATGTACAAACTGTCAAAGAAAGATTGTAGCAGACATGATAGCAGGTGCTGATTTACTAGGAGCCTGCTCGTGGCCTGTAGACCAAATGCGCCACATGCTGGCCCCGCCCACACCTAGTTTAACAAAGAGGAAAAAAGTTACAATACGTCATATGACAACACTGATGATGCGAGTTTGACACCCCTGCTGTTGAACATGTTCTTGTGTAGGATGGAATTAATATCTCTTTTCTCTTGGTAGTTGGTCAATGCAGGGGAAGATGTCCTTGTGTTCTACAATGACAGAGCTTCATTCCAGACATTAGTGCAGATGATGAGATCAGAACGGGACAGAATGGATGAAAACAGTGCTCTCATGTATCATATCCACTTAGTAGAATTGCTGGCTGTTTGCACTGAGGGCAAAAATGTCTACACCGAAATCAAGTGCAACTCTCTTCTCCCCTTGGATGACATTGTTAGAGTTGTAACTCATGAGGATTGCATACCTGAGGTAACATGCTGTTTTGCTTGCTCTCGCTTGTTAGGTTTACGTGAACAGCCAGGGATTATGTTTTAATCAGGTTGAGGAACTTGATGGAAGCTTTTATACTTTCTTTAATTTGTGGCAATGAAATCAGCATTGCCCTTTTCCCCACTTTCCCCCGAGGACAAGTATCATCCTTCCTTAGATCAAGGATTCAATTAAGGACAGATTACGGTTTTCATTACAGTTTAAATCATTACAGTTTAAACAAGAGCAGACAATATCAAAGGCTGTTATTAGAAATTAATTCCTTTTTAGTAAGTCATGTTGTCATTAAGACTATCATGAACTGTATAATGCTACAAATAACTCTCTAAGATTGTAAAAAGAGGCTAGCATGTATGTACAGGTAGGTTGTACATAAAATATTATTGTTGCAAGACTAATATTTGTCCTTGATATTTAAGAAGAGGGAATAGCTGTCAGCTACCTAATACACCATGGTTTTTATAAGAGATTTTGGATCTTATCTGTTTCAGACTGAAATTCTGTACAATTGGCATTCAAATCCTGTTTGAAATTGCTGCAAGAATAATTTTGTTTCTGCTTTCAGTAGTAAATTTCTGCTTTCTCCCAGCAGCCTCACATCTCCTTTTGTAGAACAAAAAATTCACAGTTAAGCATTGTGAAAGCTAATTGCCATATCTTTTCAATCAAGGTCTAAAATGATGCGTTGAACTGGTTTGTGGTTTGCAACAACACCAAACTAATACTGATATCACTAACAGATTAGCTAAGCAGGAGAATATTTTATAAGGATAAAAAAAGAATGTGGCAAGGAAGAGTTTTATCTATGAGATTGGAGTTATTTTTTTTATTATTGTCCAGACTTACCTGACAGTTTTAATCTATTTTTTAAAAGGGTATATAAATTATTTGATTTGTTATCTGCAGGTGAAAATAGCCTATATTAATTTTCTAAACCACTGCTATGTCGACACAGAAGTTGAAATGAAAGAGATTTATACGAGCAATCATATGTGGAAGCTCTTTGAAAACTTTCTTGTGGATATCTGTAGGGTACGTGTTTGTTGATTGAAATATGCAAGTCTCATCTGAATCCTACTTATAAAATGTCAATTTGGAAAGAGCTGTTTATTGTTTCCATTATTTCAGGTTTATTATCACTTATATCATTTAGGTACACTGAGAGCTTATGTACCGGACAAATTCCTTGTATATCCAATCACACTTGACCAATAAAGAATTCTATTCTATTCTATTTGAAACATTTTCTGTTATGTTATATGTGTATGGCAGTGATGGCAGATCTTTTCGGCATGAGTGTCAAAACTGGAATGTGTGTGCGCTGGAGCCTCAGAAACTTGAAGACCAGCTGGCTGGTGCGGATGCACACACCGGCCACTGGTCTTCATGTGTGCCAGAGTACCGGAAATCCGAAGATGTAGGCACATGTGCTGCCCACCTCATCTTCGGGTTTCTGGAGCTCCGGCATGCACAAAGAACAGTTGGCCAGCGCACCAGAAGATAATAGAGAGGGCTCTATGTGCCACCTCTGGCAAAGGTGCCATAAGTTCACCGTCACAGATATAAGGCAATTAAATTTTACAATAGTAATTAATAACATTGGGTTTCCTCATGTAATTATTGTGATAATAAGTGTCTGTTTAGATTTCTATATGGGTTTCATATTTCTGAGGTTTGCAGCCCTCTAATCCTTCTGTAATTGCCTCCAGCTTCTAGTTTCTAGTTAACTTTTCATGCTGTTAGTTTTCTGTTCTAAGTAAGCATAGCCTGTCAAGGTTCCGACAGATGCCCTAATTATTTCATGAGTCTCAAGCCAAGTTTCAAAAGAAAACCAATTATTTATTAGGAGCAGCATATACTCAAGAGAGGTCAACTTTGACCCATATAGTTTATGGCTCAGCTTTGACCCTGTTTCTCCCCTCCTCTCAGTTGGTGTCATAAATCACATTCTTCAACAAGGCACTCCCTCAGGCTGTAGAAGTCCATGCCTCACAAGCCATCTTTGATAATCTGAGATCCTACCCTGGAAGAAGGTATGCATGGAATGTGCCCCCCCTTGCTGCCCATGGCAACTCGAGAGCAGATTAGAAATGCTTTTGCGAATTGACATAGGCATCTATATTGAGAAATTATACCATGTTTCCCTGAAAATACGACCTGAATACGACTAAGGCATTGCCACATTTTTCAGGTGGGCAAAAATATAAGCAACCCCCTGGGCAACCCCCCTCCGGCCAGACAGAGCACCGCTCACTGACTATCCCAAAGACGCCAAGCCACGAGAGCTGGGGAGGAAAGAGATACCGCTAGGTTGGGGAGTGGCATTCTGTCTGGCCAAAGGGTGGAGTTACTGGGCAGCTGCTCCCTTGCGAGCGGACTTCCAAAGAGCCGGGTACATCCTCAGGGGCGAAGCAGCCATGAGGTGACCACGCTCACAAGCAGCCACCCAGTGTTCCGCCCCCAGCAAGCATGCCTCACTCTGCCCTGTCCCTGCTCTCCCTGCAGGGCCAGGGCAGTGCTGCCGCTGCTGCCGCCACCACACTCCGAGCATAACTTCTTCTCTGGCTTCCAAAATCCAAAACTTTGCTGCCGAGTCTTCCAGCAGTGGCCACTCTAGGAGTGCGCTCTATGGTTGTAGGCTGGCTGCTGGAAGACTTTCTGTCTGGAAGACTCTCTGTCCAGCAGCTGGCCCACAACCATAGAGCGTACTCCTAGAACGGCCGCTGCTAGAAGACTCAGCAGCCGAGTTTTGGAGTTTGGAAGCCGGAGAAGAAGTTATGCTCAGAGCATGGCAGTGGCAGCGGCGGCTGGGAGGCATGCTTGCTGGGGGTGGAACAGGCGCTTGCACAACCCCCTTCTCGAGCCGGGCAGAGCTACATGCACTGACCTAGGGGGTATCCCTAATGTGCCAAGCCGTGCGAGCTGGGAGGCCGGCAGAGTGCCACATGGCTTGGTGCCTTAGGGATACCCCCTACGTCAGTGAATGGTGCTCTGCCCAGCTGGAGAAGGGGGTTGCCGGGCGGCTGCTTGTGAGCATGGTCATCTCATAGCTGCTTCGTCCCTGAGGCTGTTCCTGGCTCTTCGGGAGCCCGCTCGCAAGGGAGCAGCCACCCAGCAACCCCAAAACAATAAGCCCTCCCCTGACAATAAGGCCCAAGCCACATTTTGTCGGTCAAAAGAAAATAAGACCCTGTCTTATTTTTGGGAAAACACGGTATTAGAAATTATATTGCAGGAAAAAANTGCTTGTACGTAGTTTTCGCTCTCTGTTTGAATAAACGCTGTTCTAACTTACCTCAGATGCCTCACGTCTTGTCCATCCCTCAATCTTTTACACTGGCGATGAGGGTGGGATGTTGAGGCCCTGCCTGAACAGCCCTAGAACAGAGAAGACAGAGAACTATGTTTTTTTTTCCTCTTCCTTGATTCCGAAGGAACGAGTTACCTCACACCCGATCATGGCCTCGCTGCCACCCTTTGCTCCCTTTGGAACTGCCAGCGAGTCGTGGGCCGGGTTCCTGGAGTGGTTCGAGTATTTCTTGATCGCTAATAATAAGCACAATTTAACGGCGAACCGCAAGTGTGGTTTTTTTTTTAAGCTCCTGAGGCCTGGAGATGTTCGGCACGGCATGGGCTATCGCAGCACCTCAGCCTGTGTATGAACTCAACTGGGATGCATTGATTTTAGGGCTGAAGAACCACTACATGCCCACCCCATCCCAGATTGCCCACCAATATGCCTTCCGGCAATGTATGCAGAAAGAGACAGAAAAAACTGTAAGCCAATTCTTACAGTCTCTGCGGACGGCGGCAATCCAGTGTGAGTTCGTCGACCTGGATGACTTGCTGGTAGAACAATTCATGTGTGGGGTGCGCGACATCCTCCTGAAATGCAGACTCCTGGCTTAAGCCAACATCACACTGCAGCAAGTGGTGGAGGAGGTGAGAGCTGCGAAGCTGTCTGAACAGTCCACAGTGGAGATGTCTCAGTTCCAGCTGCTGCCACCGCCACCACACAGGGCTTGCCTGATTGACGAACTTGTGCCACTGGACGAGCATGAAGAGGAAGTCCAGGTGGACCGCCTGAGGGCCGTGCCCCGACGCCAGCCACGGCAGCCAGCCCGTTGAACCGCAGCTGCTTGCCTTGGTTGTGAGGGCAACCACGGCCACTCCTCCTGCCCATTCAAAGCCTCCATGTGCCACAGGTACAATAAAAAAGGCCACCTGGCTCAGGTCTGCCGGGCCACCTTGCTGCTTCTTCAGCAACCTGATGCCCCCGCACAAGTCTATGGCCATCAGGCACCGCCGCACCTCCAGCAGCCCCGCCGCCAGCAGCAAAGGAGAGATGGTTGTTTTGCCGTTGACAGGGGTCTCCCTGCCACCCCTGCAGAGTCGGTCAGCCAGGCAACTGCTGGCTCCAAAAAGATGACAGTCTTGCTCCTGCTAGAAGGGTCGACCTGCACTATGGAGGTCGACTCTGGGTCCTCCCACTCCCTCCTGTCTTGGGCCACCTTCTCCTGACTCTGCCCCGGCGTCTCGCGTGACCAGCTGTCACCACCGGACACCACATTGAAAGACTACCAGGGGACTCAAATTCCCACCCTGGGTTGTTATGCTGTAATGGTGGCATATGGGGGGTTCAAAGGCTGCCTCCTTGTCCTTGTGGTCGAGAAACCACTGCCGGCCCTATTGGGCCTGGATTGGTTCCCCTTGCTGGGCCTGTCACTGGTGGGGATGCATCACAGCATGGATACGCCCCCTGCATTGAAGACGTCATTGAGGAATATGCTGATGTCTTTGATGGTAAGCTGGGGGAGTATAAGAGGACCTCTATCTCCCTGAACCTAGACCCCCACATTGCCCCTATTAGGCTGAAGGCCCGCATGGTGCCTTTTGCCTTGAGGCCAAAGGTAGATGAGGAACTTGACAAATTGTTGGTGCAGGGTGTCTTAGAGCCCGTCAACCACTCTAAATGGGAGACCCCCCATAGTGGCCCCTGTCAAGGCCAACGGGTCTATTAGGATCTGCGTCGACTATAAGTCGACTATCAACCTTGGCCTCTAGGCAAACCCCCATCCAGTCCCTNTGGAGATGTTTGGCACAGCACGGGCTATCGCAGCGCCTCAGCCTGTGTATGAACTCAGCTGGGATGCATTGATTTTAGGGCTGAAGAACCACTACGTGCCCACCCCATCCCGGATCGCCTGCCGATATGCCTTCCGGCAATGTGTGCAGAAAGAGACGGAGACTGTAAGCCAATTCTTACAGTCTCTGCGGACGGCGGCAATCCAGTGTGAGTTCGTCGACCTGGATGACTCGCTGGTAGAACAATTCATGTGTGGGGTGCGTGACATCCTCCTGAAATGCAGACTCCTGGCTAAAGCCAACATCACACTGCAACAAGCGGTGGAGGAGATGAGAGCCCTGGAACTGTCCGAACAGTCCACAGCCGAGATGTCTCGGTTCCAGCTGCTGCCACTGCCACCACACAGGGCTTGCCTGATCGACGAACTCGTGCCGTTGGACGAGCCTGAAGAGGAAGACCAGGCCTGAGGGCTGTGCCCCGACGCCAGCCACAGCAGCCAGCCCATTGAACCGCAGCTGCTTGCCTTGGTTGCGAGGGCAACCACAGCCACTCCTCCTGCCCATTCAAAGCCTCCGTGTGCCACCTCCATGTACAATAAAAAAGGCCACCTGGCTCAGGTCTGCCGGGCCACCTTGCTGCTTCTTCAGCAACCTGATGCCCCCGCGCAAGTCTATGGCCATCAGGCACTGCCGCACCTCCAGCAGCTCCGCCGCCAGCAGCAAAGGAGAGATGGTTGTTTTGCTGTTGACAGGGGTCTCCCTGCCACCCCTGCAGAGTCGGTCAGCCAGGCGACAGCCGGCTCCAAAAAGTTCACAGTCTTGCTCCTGCTAGAAGGGTCGCCCTGCACTATGGAGGTCGACTCTGGGTCCTCCCACTCCCTTCTGTCTTGGGCCGCCTTCTCCCGACTCTGCCCCGGCGTCTCACATGGCCAGCTGTCACCACCAGACACCACATTGAAAGATTACCAGGGGACTCAAATTCCCACTCTGGGTTGTTGTGCTGTAAGGGTGGCATATGGGGGGTTCATAGGCTGCCTCCTGTGGTCGAGAAACCACTGCTGGCCCTGTTGGGCCTGGATTGGTTCCCCTCGCTGGGCCTGTCACTGGTGGGGATGCATCACACCATGGACACGCCCCCTGGCATTGAAGACGTCATTGCGGAGTACGCTGATGTCTTTGATGGTAAGCTGGGAGAGTATAAGAGGACCTCTATCTCCCTGAACCTAGACCCCCACATTGCCCCTATTAGGCTGAAGGCCCACATGATGCCTTTTGCCTTGAGGCCAAAGGTAGATGCAGAACTTGACAAATTGTTGGTGCAGGGCGTCCTAGAGCCCGTCAACCATTCTAAATGGGAGACCCCCATAATGGCCCCTGTCAAGGCCAACGGGTCTATTAGGATCTGCGTCGACTATAAGTCGACTATCAACCTTGGCCTCTAGGCAAACCCCCATCCAGTCCCTGTGGTGCAGCACCTACTCCATTCCTTGGGGCGGGGCTGCATCTTTGCCAAACTGGATATGGTACAGGCCTACCATTTCACCACTGCACTAAAGGAATTGGAATTGAAAAAAGTATGGGGCATTTTAGGATGTTCTTGAGATCTTCAACTCTGTGTTAATCCCTGGGGTTTTAATACCAGCTTCCTTTCTAACCAACTCTGCAATCTGTGTATCCGTAGAGTTTGTTAAGACAAGGGTGGGGAAAATAAAACTAATCTGAATTGGAACTAAGAACAGATCAGATACAGTAGTTCAATTATACTAGCTACAAATCTATAGAGTTAAAATATGCACCTGATTTTTCAAATGAGTGGCTTTTCTCAATAATCTTATTGCTTCTGTAATTTTCCCATGGAAAGGGTAGCAAGTTTTTCATTAATAACCAATTATTG